GCAATGTGTTTGTGAATAAATTAATAGCTACTGACACAAGAACACACCGGTTACAAGCAGAATACAGTGCTATTCAGCCACAGATCTTAGTGTCATATCAACTACATCCTCAACCTGAGACCGGGGAAACCCAAGCCTGAAGGCCAGAAAGGACACAAAGAGCACTAAATAATGGTGGCAAGTAATACCAAAGCTATTGTTCATGCAGGCGTCCCGCTGCATTTGATATTCAACTTGACTTGATTCCAGATTTAGAGATAACAGACTCTCGGACTGGCGGTTGGACTTAGACTGGACTCTAACATTTGGCCGATGCTATCCGCCGTCTTGGCAAAAGTCTCCTCGTCATCCGTCGGCTTATTTCTGAATGTCTGGTCACTGGGCTGTGGAAACGCACTGAATAAAAGGACTTGTGCAGTTGACTGGGCTTCCAGTGGACACATGCGCATTTCCATATGAGAGCAGTGAAATTCACAAGACCTCATTTGGCTCTGCAATGCTTTTCGGGCGGAGGGGAGGGCTGATTGAATGAAAAAGAACAACAGGTTCAATAAAGCGCAGATAATGGCTTCCTGTCTGGGCCGTGACAGAAGAGCTATCTGTGTTCCCTTCTCAGCAGGACCACAGAGGGGTGAGAAGTTGACAACGCTTTCATTCTCCTGAGGACTGGGAGCTATGTTTGGACAGGCCGCTTTACAACGGCAGAGTGGCCTTCATAAATAAACCATCACATACTTGGCTTGACCAAGAAAACACTGAAGGAAACAATCAAATAAAAAATGAACAGCCTGGAAGACAGGGCAGGAGCATTTGGCCCTTGTGTCTTTTCCACAGGATGTGAAACACATTCATAAGAAGCGCTGGACGTCTGATAACGGGGAATAAGAAAAGCACTTCTTGAACTCTGAAATGGAAATCTGTCAGACTAAACGGCAGCTGCAAAACTTACTTCACTACATTTCTGTGGAATTTTTGATGAGCTGATACACTTTACTAGTTCTGCATAATACTGCAGAAAAATGCGTATGCGATAACTTGTTAAATCAAGTTTTAAGTGTGTAAAATCAATTTAAACGATATTTAAATATATTTAAAAACAGAAAATTATATAATCAACATACATGCTTCAAATTCCTTTGCTGCTAAGTCATTGACAGCAGCTGCGAGTGCCTTCGCTATTTTTATTTTTTTTTATGAAAGTGTCACAACTGTTTGTTGATCATCTCGCATACGTCATCAGAGCACAAAAACACACACACCAAGTAACAATAATATATTCTCTGCTAAATATAAATTCTCAACTTAACCAAGTAACCGGAGTCGTCCACACACTGAAAAACATATATAAAGCCCAATCAAAGATTGATCTTTGATTTTCTTTTTGCATGTGAAAAAAGTGAAAAGGCGAAACGTTTCAACTCATAGCTTTCTTCAGTGCTTTTTTTAAATGTACATTTGCAATATTACACTCATTTCAATATATGGAGAACCATGATTACCACCTCTATGTGTTATAATGTACTGTTGCTTAATCGCATATGTGACCCTGGACCACAAAACCAGTTTTAAGTCGCTGGGGTATATTTGTAGGAATAGCCAACAATACATAGTATGGGTCAAAATTATCGATTTTTCTTTTATGCCAAAAATCATTAGGATATTAAGTAAAGATCATGTTCCATGAAGATATTTTGTAAATTTCCTACCGTAAATATATCAAAACTTAATTTTTGATTAGTGATATGCATTACTAAGAACTTCATTTGGACAACTTTAAAGGCAATTTTCTCAATATTTTGATTTTTTTTGCACCCTCAGATTCCCGATATTCAAATAGTTGCATCTCTGCCAAATATTGTCCTGTCCTAACAAACCATACATCAAAGGAAAGCTTATTTATTCAGATTTCAGAGGATGTATAAATCTCAATTTCGAGAAATTGACCCTTATGGCTGGTTTTGTGGTCCAGGGTCACATATTTAGAGTCTTAAGGAGAAAAAAAAAACTTGCTTAACTTATGCTGTCATGTGAAGCACATCCTTGCCAGCTTCAATATTCCTGTATTAGTTACATAATCTGTAAACGACTCTTTGTACTACTACTAAGGAGGAAGGACCAAAACTTCCTAGTGTAGTGAAATGCTAGTGTAGTGCAGGATGTGAGAAAAGAGTGTGAGTGTGACTGAGATCAACAAATAAACATATCTGTGTATCATGCTCCTTAAAAATCAAATTTCACCCATAATTACCATCGAAATTAAGATTTTAGGACTTTTGTGGCATTCAAACAAAGCCTACTTATTTACTCACAGAACATGAAGCAAAACTCACTCCAAACACATAAACATCCCATTTGACAATAACTCGGTATAAATACACTTCCAGTTATAGCTAGTAGCTTAACAGTCAATTCTCAGTTCATAACACTTCAAAACACGATCAGAATAGCCTATAAGCAGATTTAAGGTTAGCTCTTTTTTCCAGACAAAAGCCAGGGAAAGCAATACAGTCCAACGTCCTCTTAAAGGGGCTAACATTACCAATATTAAATCGAATTAATAGAAAGAGAAACATAAGGCTGTGAAACTGCTGAGCTTGCCCTTGTAACACTGAGGACTCATCATTTTAAGGCATTACGGTTAATTATTGCTGTAGATCAAGCGAGCATGTCAAAAATATAAGCTAACTGTCATGATGACTTTTATTTTCTCAAATTATTTTCTAATTAGACTGTGTAATAGAAAGTGCATAAACAGAATGTAATAGACCAAGAAAACAAAGAATATGAATCGAAGAGTAACTGTAGGGATAATCATCCACAGACAGAAAGTAATACACAAAGTAATACTGTTCCTATGAGTCAGAGTGAAAACGAGGATCTGAAATCGATTTTTTTTTTCCTGCACAGGGCAGGGGATTGGGAATGGTTGGGGTGACCTTTCTGAAAGTCATTTTGCACTTGTCTTCTACACTATTTACTGGCAGAGTCAAATGTTAGTTTGGGAACATTACCATTGATATGACTGGACTGCCTGTGTTTGAGTGCTGCATCACATTCATCCTATTGGGGAACAAGGCCCTAATCACGCTAGCCCCTAACTAACATGGCAGATTGTATATAAACACATATCATGGAAACTAGTTACTGCAATTACTTTTACTTATTGCAAAATCAAACTGAATTCCGAAAGTGTGAGAAGCTTTATGACTATTTCACTCGTTTTATTTTATGTTTCGATGACAGTGGCCATAACAATTGTATTGTAGGGTCCCATTTTATATTAAATGTCTTTAACTACACTCTAAAAAACCCAATTGCTGGGTTTGTCCCTATTTAACCCAGCACTGGGTTGTATTTAACCCAGCATTTTTTAGAGTGGCTACTATGTACTTAAGTAAAATAATAAATAAATAATCTATTATAATAATGATAATAATTATTATCATTGCTGTTGTTGTTGTTTGGTACAATGCACTTACTTGTGTTCACATTGTATTAAAACACACTTTTGCTGATATCTAAGTGGGATATGGTTATGTTAGGGACAGGTTTAAGGGTCAACAGTGAAAATCTAGATGTAATTACATGCAGGTATTTTATATATAGATATATAATAATAGCATGCGCAAAATAGGTGTATTGATTGTATCAAATGATTAGTTTAAATGTTAGTACGTAGTATTTAGGGACGCTTAATATAAAGTGAGCCCTACTGTAACAGCCACAACTCTAACTAGGCGTTTTGTTGAAAATGATTACAACTTCGTAAAGGGAATAACTAATATAACCCGAGTACTACCCATGTAAGAAACCTTACATTTCTCAATATTGATAAACGTGAATAAACTCGTTATAAATGTTTATTTCTCGCTATTGTATTGTAGTAGCAAGCACTGAAATAATTGTTATTTCGGAGGAAATACTATAAAATATTATAGTAACCATGGCAACCTTTCATAAAAGTACAGCGTAGCGTATAATAGCTTAATGGGCGGTAATTAACTAGTAAATACGCTTGGTCACCACCTGCAAAGCAACTCCGCTTTTAGTTGCACCTGTGTGTTTGTTTAATAAGCACGCTATTGACAAGCACGTGTAAAGAAAGTCGTGTTTTATCGCTGAAGCGATCGCTGCGGTCATGAATGGAGCGGCTGAAGGTTACAGCTTTTATGAATGAGCGCAAACAACAACTCTGCCCTTCGCCCTTCCGTCTGACAAGCGCTGGCAGCCTGACTCCAATTCATCCGCCAGGCCACTATTGTTAAAGTGTGACAGCAACTCTGGCACGGAGGGCCAGTATATTAGGAAATAAAGCTGAGGACATGACAGATAATAGTGGCCTGGTGAGCTAGCCCACCTTGGAGTCGGCGAAAAACAAAAACATGAGACGTGGAGGCGAGTTAAAACTGCCTCAAAAAACGATTATTCGCCGTACGGAACGCGTTCAGGCCCAATTTAGCAATCATTTCTCATACATGTAACGCGAGCCAACGTAGTCAAGTGGTGTTTTTATGAATGAAGCACTATATGCAAATGAGAACGATTCAAAGCGCCTGACAAGAAGAAACAAATGGCGGATATATCCGAGCACTGCAACAGACTTTCCAGAACATCAAACCATCTCGGTTTTCATGACTATAGCCAATGTTTAAGCAAGCTCACTTGTTCATAAAACAAACAAAATGGCTCTGCTGCGCAAAACAACATGTGACGCGTAAACACAGAGGAATGTTCAAGGAAGGGCCTTTAAAACATTAAATCCCTTTACAAAATATGTCCGATCCACCGCACTCCATCTCCCTCCTCCTCCTCCTCCTCCTCCTTCAGACTGTATCAGTGGGAGAGGGCCCAGTCCCCCACGCAACATTTCAACGCAAAATAGTTTAGCAAACTTTCCCAGCACCGTCTTCAGATGCCATCCGACTGCCTTACACCGTGAAAGATGCGACATGTGCAAAGACAAACCCTCCAAAAAAAGACATTTCTTTCCAGGTACTTACTCGTTTGGGTGTGTTTCTTCAATCATTTTTCTCGTTTCACCTACAAAAAAATCCCACAACGGGTGCACTCTGTTCGTTCGTCATTTTTATGCCACTCTTTCCCCAATAATCCCTCACGTTTCGTTCGGCTGTAGTGTGTCTTCTTGTTGCTCTCTCTCTCTCCTCTCCTCGTCTCCGATGGGTTTTCGTTTCTTTCTTTTTTTTCTTTTTTTCACTGGATCTAACCAGTTGCTGATGAAAACCTTGGAGGATCTTGGAATAAAAGAAGGCTAAATCGGGTCCCCCGAATGATTTCCCACAGCTTGAGTGCTTCAGTGTATTTCCGAAAATCGCTTAGATGAAACATAGGTTGATGTTGCTGAGGGTGGCCCCGACGAGCCCCATCTCTGATCACTCCATGTTGAATTATTGTGCGGCGGCGGCAGCGCGCGGGGGGGGGGGGGGGG